TAATCGTAACTCGAGAATCCCTCCTTTGTTTGTCTTTCATACTGTAGCGAGCTTCATGTCTTTCGTTTCACAAAAGCACTTCGCTGCTGTTTTTTTTAAATGTATTGGTTTTGTTGTTCGTTTTATTTAACGGGTCACATTCCAGTTCAAGAGCTGAGCTGTCGGGGTGAAGTGTACTCTCTCCCCTATGTTTAACAGCGGATGTGGCTCTAATGGAGCAGCTTCATGATGCGGTGTATAATACAACACCTGCATGCGTACAGTATGCAGTTCTTGTCCGTTTTTTTTATAGGGTAGCTTTCTCCTCAAATAGAAGGGACTGATCTTCTTTTTAAATACTTCCTGTTCGGTCAATTTTAGTACTTTGTTTTACACAAAGGGATGTGGGAGTCTGTTTCAATTACTGTAGCTCCTGTACTTGCAATCGAATGAGCTATTCTATATGAGCAGAAAGGCCTCCTCTCTTTTGCAACTAATCTTTATGTTCTCGTTCAAATTCTGGAAGAGTGGAGAGAATTCCTAGAAAACGCAACATAAATTCAAGTCTGTTCACAAATATACAGTACCATTTTTTTTTCAGAGCAACCAGACAACAGGAAAATGTAACATGTCAAAACCACATGCCCATACAGTAACGTTATTCACCCTGACAGTGGTTTTATAGATGTACAAAACCGTACAAAACTATCTTGGTTTTACACATTTTTAACCTCCTGTTCTAATGAATTACCTCTTTTACAGACTACAGTACTAAAGGTTTATGTTTAAAAATACCCTTACTTTTAGGGAAAAAATAAAAAGTAAAAATACAATGGCAAATGGGAATTTCTGTGACATTACCCTGTCAGTTTCTATGGAGTTGTTAATCTTGTTTTCTGATAATAGACTTAATGTACTGTATAGAAGCTTTAAGGATTGCAAGCCTAATGTTGTTGATTATCTGTCAAAACACACATTTGTCTCTTTTTTTTTGGTTTATCAAAAAAATATAAACCATTAAGGTGCAGTTACTTTTCAGCAAATTTCCTTTAAAACCTCCATTTATCCAGGAGTGACTAGTACTCTAGTAATTACTGTAAATGCATATTTATAGTAATAACACTGTATAATGCTAATTTTGTATTTAAATGCCAAATGCAGACAAATGCAGCACTTAAGAGTTGTGGTCACATTACAGAAAGGTTGTAGGTTCAATTATTATTTGGAAGATGCTGTTGTACTTCTGAACAAGGTGTTTCAGTACAATGCACAGCTCTAGAAATTGTTGTGTAATGTACTGTACTGTATGTTTATTTACAGTACCCCCCAAACAAATAGTAATGGATGGGTTACTATTAGTTTTTAATGGTCTTTATAGATTTGACATTATAAAGTCAGAACAAACGTGGTTATAATAGGAATCAAAAAGTGAAAAATGAAATTGGTCCGGAAAGTTTTGAATGATGGAAGGAAAGAAATGGTCATTCGTGCACCTGTGAGAATTGGAGAGATTACTGAACTACAGGGCTAAACAAAGTCATTCTGAAACAAATTGGACTGTAAGACATTTTAAAACAAGGAACAGACAGAGTGTGCTATATTTTACAGATCGCTTTCAGCAGATAAGAGGAGGGTGATGTAAGTGTCTTAACTGCAGGGAGCACACAAAGGCATCACAACCCTGCCACAGCCTGGTATCTCACAGAACAGGTGTCCCTTGAGTAGCCAGACTGGGCTTTCCAGACCCTGTGAAGCACAGCTGTGTACAGTACCTGTCCTTGTACAGTACCTTGTCCTGTAGCTGCCTGTACCCTAACACAGATACCTGTCGGGTACAGGCAGCTACAGGCCTTGCAATACACTAGTATGTTGTTACAGTAGCTTGCATAAAGAATGGCAAAGTGCTAGTGTGTATTTTGGTGTGTCAGGATTCCCAAATACAATAACAAGTCAGTAACATTTTATTCTGTATGCAGTATACCATTTTCTTCCATTTTTGACTGAACATGGCTGGCCCGTTCCTTTATGATCAACTCCCAGTCTAAAAGTCATGCTAATTTTCTAGTACAGTACTTCTCTGAGCAATTATTTCAAAGTAATAACAATTAAAGGAAAATCAACAGGACTATAATTCAGTTTTTTCACTTACCCTTTTAATACCTTTGTAATTTGTCCTTGATGTGGAAATGCTTCATATTTCACATAAAAATCTCTTTTTGCCCTTTTGTTAACAATTACTAAGAAACAGAACAGGAAAAAGAGCACTTCCCTATAATTGTAGAATCTGGCACTGTGGAACACAACTTGGCATGAGGCAAGACTGATACTTAACAGATGTCAGAGCCCTAAAACCCACAATAATGGCAGCAGTGATTGTTGTTACTGTCATTAGCTGACACACACAATAATGTTAAAGGTTTGAACTCCAAATCACTCCAAATTTACTTGAAAAGACCAGATGTACTCTATATAATAAAAATAATGAGAGTATCCTAGGCTGATTACCACGTCTTTATAGTAGTAACCTAAATCTTTCAAATGCTGAAGACCAATGTAACATACTGTAGTGTCATGAATGACAAACTGTGGCTAGAATTTAATTTTTTGTTTGCAGTTATAAACAATTAAAATGCATATTTTGAATGTGTAAGCTGCCGTTTGTTGTAAAACTGATTACGGAAATGTTTTAAGCATATTGTGGTTGTAATTACTGAGTCTATTGTCAGACCTGTCCTTGCACTGAGAAGACACCCAGGGATAATTGGTTTTTGTCAAAAGAGAATGTAGTCTGATCAAGGTATACTTTCCACAAAGGGTTGGCAGTGAAATAGCATTGATGTATGAAACTTCTGCCTGCAAGGTCATGTTCTCAAACAGCAAACTGTAAAAGTATGTTACAGGGTGTATCTCTTTAGTGTCAAAAACACAATTTATATCAGTTGTATTGTTTTATGTTTTTTATCACTGTTTTCCCAAACTATATAATTTATACAGATTTTCTGTTAAAATTATATGGTAAATAGTGCCCCTAAATGTTGTGTTTCTTTATTGCAGTATGCTACAAATTCTGTCATATATCTGCAGCTGTAGATATAACCAAAATTGTGTGAAATCAAGAAATACAATTGTTTTATTTTTGGCTACAATGAAACACAGCAACAAAATAACATCTTCCATGTCACAATCTGGGTCTCTGTGATACCTCTATGTATTATACAGTCTTTGCCATTTTATTAAAGTAATTGGTAAGCAAAAAAAAAGAAAGGTTTTTCTTTATTATCATTTTTTCCCAAGGTGACAATAAATACAATTGACCTTTCTCTCACTGAACTGTAGGGTCTATCTATTTACATGATATAAAATGAATCTTACAGTCAAATTTTATCAATTCTGGATTTAAAAATGGAATGTTTCAAAATGTTTTTTTGAAAATGGTGTGTTTAGTGTGCTAACATAATGTAAATGTGAAATGATTTTGAATATTCAATACTATTTATCCTGCTACAGTATATCCTTTTTCAAATGTTATTATTTTCCCTGGGAACTTTGAGGTTGTGGTATAGTAAGGAGCATCGAAAAACTATTACAAAAGCTCTCAGATCAAATAAGCCCCTGCATCCCTTCACTTCATTTGGAAATCTAATACGCAAAACACCATAATATACAGTATATATACTGTATATGTGATATTTACATTTCTTCCATCACATGTACTGTAACTGTAGATACTCGATTGAGAAACGGAAAACAAAATGCAAAACTCAATGCAAAGCTGCTGTATAAAATAGACTGATGAGTGACTGAGAGTGAGTGTAGTTAGACTGACACCTATGGGGCCATTTCTGAATTTTAGCTGTTGTCTTGCACTACTGTTCAGTGAGAATACAGAAATACCTGTGATTTTTTTTCAAAAGGTTACATAAGATAAGTGCAGCCACCCTGCACTTACACTGCATCAGTTAAGTAATTGCTCTCAGAATGGATTCCCACTTTAATGCACATTATTTCAATAAATCTGGGCATCTTTTATGAAAAGCACCTTGACCTTCTATATCAGACATAAAAATAATAACCTTAGCATTTGAGTAAAAAAGAGGAGGCAAAAGCAATATAACATATATAGCAATATTTTAAAGGTCTCACGCAGCAATTTCAATTTGCTGTCTGGAAATGTGTTATAGTCTTACATTGTATTTTATTAAACTGTAGTGATCCATCAGACACAATTATTTGAACATATTGTGCCATTTATGCCTACAGGAAAAATTTCCATAAGATATCCTGTTTGAATGATGTTACATTCCACACATCGACATGTCCTGTGAGGTACTGCTGTCCACAGACCTTTCTGATTGCTGGCAAAACCTTATTTTCTAAGTATTGATCTTGGGGCAACCTACAAAATGCAAAGCCTTACCATGATAGATCTGCTGTCATGTTTTACAGTAGGAATCAGGCAATCAATGTCAAATTTTTCCATTGAACGGTGTACAAATCTGAACTCATTTATCTGTATTAAACAGGGGGGAAAAATTGGGATTCATCAATCATCAATCCAGGGTACATTCTTCCATTGATTAATAGTCTGAGGGTTTCACTCATGGCTGTAATGAATAACTACTGCATTTGTCCACGCTTACGGGCCAAATTCCTTAAGACACAAGAAGAAATCTTGTTTGCATGGATTGGTATATTTGATATTGTTTTTACACCATCAAGCATATGCCTATTTTTGTATTTCAAAGTGATTAATTTATTACTGTGGTGCTGAAAAAGACATCCTCCAGTTTTGCCAAAGCTCATATTTATCTGGCTATTGACACTTGCTCTTAGCAATGCTATTAAAATTTGCTTTTCTGCTCTATTTTTAATAAATATTGCACGATTTTTATCAATATCATCTTGCTGTATAAAAGAAATGAACAAAACATGCAAAGACTTAGCAATACGTATAAACATTTTTTCCTTTTCCTGTATTGTGTCAGCTGCAATTTATTTTTGTCTTTTTTTTATCCTTACAGGTTACATGCACTCATGCTACCAGCGCAGGAAAATCAGAACTTCTTAAATCAGGAAGCCCTAAATCTACATTAAAACACATATGGACAGAAAGCAATAAAGACTTGTCCATCAGTCGACTGTTATCACAGACTCTACATGGCAAAGAAAATGCCACTGCTTTGGACCTGCGGTACGATACCCCAGAACCTTATTCTGAGCAGGACCTCTGGGACTGGCTGAGAAACTCTACAGAACTTCAGGAACCCCGGCCCAGAGCCAAAAGAAGACCGATTGTCAAAACAGGGAAGTTTAAGAAAATGTTTGGCTGGGGGGATTTTCATTCTAACATTAAAACTGTCAAGCTCAACCTGCTGATAACAGGGAAGATTGTGGATCACGGGAATGGGACTTTCAGCGTGTACTTTCGCCACAACTCCACCGGCCAGGGGAATGTATCTGTGAGCCTCGTGCCCCCGACCAAGATTGTTGAATTCGATCTGGCACAGCAGACTGTCATTGATGCCAAAGACTCCAAGTCTTTCAACTGCCGAATTGAGTACGAAAAGGTTGACAAGGCCACCAAGAACACACTTTGCAACTACGACCCATCCAAAACATGCTACCAGGAGCAGACCCAGAGCCATGTGTCATGGCTGTGCTCCAAGCCGTTCAAAGTGATCTGCATTTACATTTCCTTTTACAGCACTGATTACAAACTAGTGCAAAAAGTCTGCCCTGATTACAACTACCACAGTGACACTCCTTACTTCCCATCAGGCTGATGGCTCCACGATCTGCGTGCTACAAAAGTCACTCAAGAGGGCTGCTGCCCCCGGAGAATCGACTATTTGTACTGTCCTGAATGTGTCCACGATGGAATGGCGATGATAGAACACGCTATTATTTCAAATTCAGAATTCCTGCCAGAAAAAAAGCAAAACAGACAAATTGGTAGCAAGGCGTATTGCAAGAATGTCCATTATGAATGACAGGAACACTGGGAACCGAGACTAATTATATTCCCAGTAATACATACAGTACTGGCCTGGCCATTAGTAACGTACAGTATGCTTCTCAACATAAAATAATCAGTGTCTCAGTTTCTCATATGAACAACAGTGCTAACAATATAACAGAATGTGACACATGAGATATATATTCAAATGAAATACACTGCAAAGTATTTGTCTTTATTTCTTGTTCTTATTTGACATGATTCCTTTATATGTAGATCTTGTATCATTTATAGCTAGTGGATGTCCCACCCTTAGAACCCTAATTCTGCTTGTTTGAGATGTCTAGATATTTCATAATTACTGTATAATTTGGGTTTTTTTTTACAAAAGCACTTAGTCAACAGCAAGGTGCTAAATGCAATCCTAGAGTGCACTCACTCATGCTTTTCCTCGCGGCGCTCTCAGTGGGTTGTTGTTATCAGTGTCCTTAATACCACTTTCACAGATTCATTGAGGATAAAGGCAGTCATTCACTCCTGCAAGTGAAGACCTCCAGTGTAGTTCTTATTTCTAAAAGTTTTGATCAAATGTGATAACGCGAAGTAAAACAGTATGCATTCCGCAGATAAGTAGACACATTCAAGGCATTGAGCGTGGCACCCTTTCCTGGAAAGTGCACATCTCTTGGTGAGCAAGCCTTTTCATTTGCCATGTTTTATAAACCATTTTCCATATCTCAGAAACACTCTCAGGCTGCTGACATTTTTGCTTTGAAACCCTGGCTTGACATTTTAGATGATGAGATTTTTAATTTCGTCTTAGTTTTGAACGTGGTCATTATAAAAGGTTTGCTCACCTTTACTATATAAATGTAATGACTTCTATATCCTAGGCTTAATTTGTATGAATGGTTTGTATTGTATATAGTTTATCCTGTGTTAATTGAGCTGCTTCTGAATATTCTCTTGTATCTGTCATTTCTCCCTTTCTCTTTCCTGTTCTTTCTGCTTGTTATTGGTTAACACTAACAAAGGAAATGACTGACATTTATCAATGTAGATGTGGGCTCTATGAAACAGACTTATGTACAAAGCAGTAAATCTGTCTAAAAATATAATTATAAAAATAATAGTCATCTGTATTAAGGCATTTTATTTCTGAGGGAAAAAGGAGATGTACATAATAATAAAATACTGAAACTTTTTCAGTTTAATGTCTGGGATGTGTGAGTTATTAATCAAACCCAAAGATTTTCTTTCTTGTAAAAGTACCATATTGAAAAGAACGGGACCCTGGTTTGTATCCAGTGAAATGACACTGCAAAACAGCGCTGAGCTGTTCAAACGAATAGCGTGTGAGTCTCAAAGAACTGTTTGATATAGGCAATATAAAAAACTACAAACCTGGATTTTGCGATTGCTTTATGAAATTCTACCAAAAAAAATACTCAATGATATACAAAGTAAGCAGTAAACTACTAAATACATGGATGATGGATACATTCATCATCAGTCATTTTCCTGGGGTATTTTGAAACTTCACACTCTCTTTCAGGTGAGCCAATGCAGTCTAAAGGCTGATCAGAGCTTAACTTGTATCTTGAACAACTCCTGCACCACTGTTGCCCAGCTTTCTGAGCCATATTTAATTATAATGAATGCATGCAGCTTGTTAAAAAACACAGGGAAGAAAGCCAACAGAAATGAACGATTTGTGGGCCTTTATGAGGGTATACCAGTATGTTATATTTCTACAAAGACTTTATGTAAGTTGCAGTGTAATATTAATTGAACATCACAAGAACGCCCTTTGAAGGCCAGAGTTAAAAAAAAATGCCTAATTGCTTTACAGGTGTGTAAATCATTGTCAGGCCCTAAGCATGTGTGATCTAATAGTTTCTTTATCTATTGAATAAAGAGGCCATAAATTTACTGCAAATTACATCTCTATGCCAAAGCCTGAAATTGAAAGCTCTAGTCTGACAGTGTCTGTTACTCAAGTGCTCAACACACCTGCTGTACAATTCTACAACCAAATGAGAAGCAGTTGGCTTTAAATTGATTAGGCATCCTGTGGGTAAAATACAGTGCTTTTAGCTTGCTCACAACTTATCACTAATTAAACTAGATGTTATCCTTGCCAAGTTAATGTGTTGGTAGCTCAGTCCGTTGGGGGGTTTATTACTGTCCTCATTAACGTGTTGTTTTCAAAGTTTGCCCTAAATACTTACATTTAATATGTGTTGTGGGATTAGGTTTTTATTTCCATATTCCCCTGTTCAAATGAAAATGTAAATGTGAATAAAAATGTAAGAGTTACAGCATCTGCCTTTGCAGCTCTGAAACAGAATCCATGTAATTGATTTCGCACACCGCAGGAGAAATATTGAGAACTGGTGCTATAATGTGGGGTCCTTTAACACTAACTATATAATCAGGGAATGAACTCAAACTTTCCAAGGCTCTGCATTTCTTGCACACAGAATTAATTCCTGGCACTTATAGAGTGCTTTTCAGTCCAAAGGACCCCTAAACACTTTACATCTAGGAACGAAGCTTACTAGAAGTAAGAAGTTACTAGTCACTTAGAAGTCACCACTGAAGTAGAGGACTAACCTGCGTGATACATGACATCCTTTATTACACAGCTAATCAGGCAGAGAAGTAAGAAACTGTTTGCCAAATTGAAGTAAGGGCAGACTTTAGGGAGGCCCCTTTGTACAAGCCAAGAGTGGAGTTTAACCAGGACACAGGGGTTAATGCCAGTACTCTTAAAGCCAGGATCTAGGCTTAGCTTATCAGATGGCTGCTACTGTATGTTGCACAGCTCAGCATCATCAGGCTGGGGCATTGGACTGGAAATTCTAGTCTATAGTGCCTTCTCCTGTTCCAACAACACCACCTGAAGCAACAGCCCGTTTTTTTCCCAACAGGTCTTCCATCCCAGCACTGATGAAGACCAGTCTTATTTAGCGTCTGAGATCTAATGAGTTCAGGCTTCTCTGTGGTTAGACTGTTTCTAAGATAAAGTCAATATAGCACACTAGGATAAATACAAATCCAGGGCTTTAACCCTGTTCAGAATCTTCAGTTATTCAGAAATGGAAAATTCAGCACACTTTTGGAACCTGGTGTGAAGCAACATGGCTCACAGGAAATTTGCTGTAATATAAAACTATTACTGGAGTTTATAGCAGAAAGTTGGGAGGAAGGTTAAATCCTAATATCAAACACTTCATGTACTGTACCTCTCTCACACCGGTCCCACACCACATCTACACGCTTGCTGCAGCTCCCTAGCTCATTCCTTGCAATAGTGAGGGTTTGGGACATTCCTTGAGCTCAGGCTGTCTTTCCCTCAACTAGGCAAGTCACACCAAATGCTTCCTACATATTTTGCCCCTCTATTGCATTCATTAAGATCTAAGTGAACTACTGAAATGAAAATAATATGAAACCGCAGAAACAGACTGTTAACATGTTGTATAAAGAAGGGAAATACATTATAAAGGAAAAAAGAAGTCTGAAATAAAATAAGGAGCTATTAAGAGACAGGAGACATTTTTTAAATGAGTGCTCCAGGTATATTACAGTACCTAATAAATTGTGGTTTGATTACTCCTCAGGTCTTACATAAATGGGCATCATGCAAGCAGTGATGTTTTGAAACCTGCATCTTGCTCACTGGAGATGACATTCATTCGCTACTGACCAATGGCACCATTAAGTCTCTAGATTATTTTGATTAACAAGAAATTCTAGTCATGTTTGATAGATTAGTGTGTCTTCACTAGCCCCAGAATGTGTAGTACATGATCAAAACTGTTAAGTATATAGGACACATGCACATTTGTGTATTATTGTGTACTACTCTACATACTGTAGATATGTAAGTACTGTATGAATAATCTTGCATCTACCAAGTTCGTAGTACAAATATTTAAAGTATCATATAAACCCTTGTAATAATAAATGTATCCTATTAAGAAAACAAGCACCTACACTATAGATATACCAACATATACAGTATAAAAGGACAGGACTTGTATTTTGCAAGAACATCATCTGTGAAATATTAATGCCATCTTCACAATTGCTTCTGAATAGTTACAAATGATTTGGACTCACTGATTTTGAATTTAAAGAGTAGTATTGAAATATACATTCTATTGCTTTGCATTATTCAGCCTAATTGATCGGTTGGCTAACACAATGCAATTCTGTAGTATTTTGCAATGTGTCAAAAAACAAAATAGTGGCCTATCAGATTAGGACAGGTGAATTAAAACTACATCTCAAGATTTCAGATGTTCAGCTCTGAGTGGGTCATGAGTGAAGAAAATAATGTCATCAACTTTGGTACCACCGCTGTTTAAATCAATATCTATGGACCTTAAGCAAGTGGCAAAGGAATGGCTGACAAATTAGACTGAGACACTATTTTGTCTTCTTTTTTGGTTGATTTGTAACAACCTTTGCTAAATTGCAAACACAGAAGTGCAGACACAAAAACACTTGTTAAAGTTGGGTTTTTTTAAAGGCTGCCCAGTTAAATAAAGAAAAAGACAGAAGCAGAGAGGAGACTCATTTAAGAAAACAGAATTACTTCTGGGCAGTGGTCCACAAAACCATTTGTGGATGAGCAGGTTTCCTGTTAATGAGCAAGTGTCAGAGTGTTTCTGAGCCAGGTGACTAATTACATCTGAAAAAAGAGGCCATTTGGAAAAACAACAAATTGAGGCATATTTAGCCGAAAATAAAAACAATCCTGTAGCAGTACATACTGTATTAGTACTTTATTAAATAAATTAAATATGGGAAACAAAAAAAAGAAAACTTTTATTTAGTATAACATGGAAAGATTCTATTAGCCACAGGTAGTATTTTTGTCAAGCTGCAGAATATTGCTGTGCGCTAATTGTGAGAAATAGACTACAATCTGAGAGAACAGTGCTCCTGAGATGAGATTTGACACATTGGTCTGGATGGCCTCTGACATGGTCTGTAGCCTGGAGGTTCTGGCTGTCTCTAAAAAGAAGATGGTTCCATGGTGACCAAGGAACTTGAGGGTAAAGATAAGTTATATGTATATTTAAGAACAGAGCAGCGAAAAATCACATGGTAGTTTGGCCAGGACACAGAACAATTTAGGAGGGGGCAGTTTCACATACTGCTATATAAGCACCTAGAGACACATCTCTGACACTTGAAAACGTCTCAGCTACCAGATAAAAATAATAAAAATCAGATTCTTGATCTGATTTACGAAGGTGAAAGGGCAGTAATAAATTCATTTATATGCTTGACCATCATACATGACACAGTGACCTAAATAAGAATAGCTGCCATCTGTTACTAACTAGGATATATACGTTTTTTAAACCAATTTGAGAAAAAGGACAATATTACCTCAGGCTCAAATATTTTTTTTTGGTGGACAAAATATTTATTTTTAGGACAAAAATATTTTTTTCCTAAAAATGTATCCCAGAGCACAATCCTAATTAACTGCCAAAATAACTAACAAGACTATTTATTCAATTATGTTCACGTTTGACATTTCTAAAGGAAAGCTTTGAATCTAATTTCCTCATCATTAACCAGAAGATGATAATTTATATTTAATTTGTAATTGTTGCACAGTGCTTTATATAGTAGATTATATTAACCTGAATAATAAATGCTTTTACTACAATTGGATTAAAATATTACTGCCTTATTCTTAACTGTACATAGTTTCATTTGTAAAACACTCAACCTTAGCTGGTGAGTAAAAGTTTGACTCTCATTTCGACACATTTTTATATGTTTTTGTAATTCTAAGAAAATAACAAGTTGTTTAGTACTCCGTTCACATACTTTTAAATTTCAGTTTTTTCCTAAACAGAATTTTAACTTTAATCAAAAGTCAAATGAAAAAAAAGGGCCAGTCTGCCTCAGGGATATTTTTCCATTAACCATTTTGACACATGAGTGACCTTAGGGGATTATTGGTTTTTGAAGAACTATTAACAGCTGTACATTTGCATTTTAATACAGTTCTCTTCAACTACTAATGCAATTTCAGTTTTCAGCTTTGTGACTGCCTTGTTCCTTAAGCAGTTCAGGCAACATTAAATTCCCTCAGGTTTTAATAATTTTAATTGCCATATAAAATTAGTTACATTAATCACTTC